TTTTTTTTAATTCACTAACGCTCTAAAAATGAATGTTTCAGCCGCAGTAAAGAATCAACGTTGGCGGATTTTGGTTCTTGACATCCTTTACGATCGGTTACGATGCCCAGAGTACGGAGACCTGTACGATTTCGTCAACTTAGTGAGTTTGACAGGGGCCGTATAGTGGGACTTCGGGAAGCTGGACTTTCTTTTCGGGCAATTGCAGTTAGAGTGCAAAGAAGTGTAGACACTGTGGTTAGGTGTTGTCAGGCATGGCTTTGAGAAGGCCGTACGCAAAGAGCAAGGGGCACTGGACGCCGCCGTAGAACAACAGACCGTGAAGATCGCCGCCTAAGATTATTGGCCATAAGGGACCGTTTCTCCACTACCAGGTCCATTGCAAATGAATGGTTTGCAGAACGCGGAAGACCTATTGGCATGCGAAGTGTTTACCGACGAATGAGAAGTTTTGGCTTGTTTTCATACCGGCCACACTGGGTCCTCCCTTTAACTCGAGAACACCGACGTAATCGCCTTGAGTGGTGCAGACAACGGTCACTCTGGGATCAGGAATGGAACAGTATTGTCTTTAGTGACGAGTCTCGACTTTGTTTAGGCATGCACGATGGTCGTGCCAGGGTTAGAAGGCGACGTGGTGAAAGGAGGAATCCACAGTTTTTTGTTGAAAGACATGTTCATCACACTGTTGGAGTTATGGTTTGGGATGCTATAGCTTATGGTTCCAGGTCACCTTTAATCTTCATCAGAGGTAACATGAACGCGCAGCGTTATATCCACGAAGTTCTAGTACCCCATCTTTTACCCTGTCTTGACACCCTGGCAGATCCAACTTTCCAACTAGATAATGCCCGACCACATGTTGCAAGAGTCACAATAGACTTCTTTCAACATAATGATGTCACATTGTTACCATGGCCACCAAGATCTCCCGACTTATCCCCAATTGAGCACGTGTGGGATATGATGGGTAGGAGATTGCTCAATTTGCAACGTCCTCCTCAGACTCTAGAAGCACTTCGAGAGGAGTTGGTGGTTGCCTGGAATGAGATACCACAGGAGGACATTGACCACCTGATCAGAAGCATGCCTAGGCGCGTTGGAGAATGCGTAGCACATCAGTGTGCATCCACACATTATTAAAGGCCAAAGGGCTTTAAAGCAGTGCAATCATTTTGAAATTTTTATCATTTACTTATTAAGCTTCATTTATATGTCACTATAATGTATTAAAGAGTGCTAATCTTAATGCAAGGTAGATTACTTTTGCTAACGACACAGTTCTTGTCTATAAAGGAAATCATGAGCAGGCGCTGCCTTAGATATTGCTCTTTACTGTAAATGGCTGTATTTAAAAAAAACTATAGATGGACATCGATAAAAAAAAATATTTGATTTTTAAATTCAAGAATGAAATAATTGGAAACTATCAAGCATGAAATACTTAATGAACTTAATAATCGATGAGAATTTGAATTGGTCTCGTCTGTTTTGTGTAGAAGCAGATACTAAAACTAAAAGTAAAATAAACATTTATAATGCATTTTTCTTGGCACACTTTTGATAAATATGCTACCCATTTTGGGAAATGCGTGGTAGAACTGACTTTCATGAAGCACAAGTTTCGGAAAATAGAGTATTAAGAATTTTGTTCAACTATGAGCGACTTTCAACACGGATGATATGTACACAGAACTGGGTGTTTGTAAGCCTAATAAACTGTTGGAATTAGAACATTGTAAAACGTTTTCCAAAATGTTAAATAACGAACAAAGGTGTAATACAAAGATTCTGATAATAATAATAATAATAATAGCTTTATTGTCCAACAGTTTCCCATTTATAGGACAATTTATAAACATAATACAAAAGCAAAAAAAAAGCGAAAAGAAAACAACAAATGCAACACAGGTATAAATTTGTAACATGAGCTACTGGTCCGAATAAGCCTTAGCTGCCTTTAGCAGGTAATTAACATTTGTCGTAAATATATCACAGTAACATCCAATTCTGTTTAAGTTAGAGCACATAACATATAACGGTGACTTGAGAAGAATGTTTGTCCTAGCTCTAGGAAGCCCGAATATTTTATGATTGCGAGATGCAAACGTTGGAGTACGAAACTTGATCTGTTCCAGGATCATGGGGCAATCAACTAAATTGTTGATCATTTTGTAGCCAAATATTATTGAGGCAGTACCTACGTTTTTTCAAAGTCAACATGTCTAAGCGACTACATAGTTCCTCATTACTTGTACCTCTCCCTGGATATGTCCTATCAATCATAAACAGAACAAACTTCATAATCTTCCGTTGTACTCTTTCAATAGCTGTGCTATAGCATTCATAGTAAGGGCTCCACATAATACTACAATATTCGACTTTCGATCTAACATAAGCATAATATAATAACTTAATAGACTTTATGTTATGAAAATTCCTGCAATTCCTTACTATGAAACCATAAGCCGCCAATGCTTCTGATGCTTTTTTATTTATTTGCTGACTAAAAGTTAACTTTTGATTATAGATTATACCTAAATCACGTACATCAGAGCATCTTTCTAGCACAGACCCATCAATAGAGATATAATAAAATTGGAAATAATATGCTACCTATTTGGGAAATGTGTGGTAAAACTGAATTTCATAAAGCACAAGTTTCGGAAAATAGAATATTAATAATTTTGTTTAACTATGTTCGACTTGCCAACACGGATAATATGCACACAGAACTGGGTGTTTGTAAGCCTAATAAACTGTTGGAATTAGAACATTGTAAAATGGTTTCCAAAATGTTAAATGACGAACAACGGTGTAATACAAACATTCTGATCATGACCATGAGAACAAGATCAGCAATCTATCAAATCGTGTAAAAAATGTACATGCATTCAGAAATTATGAGACAGCACTCAAAAGTCAATTGAATTGTTCAATTTATTGTAGCTAAAATCGCACTTTAAATATCGTTGTTCCCGGGGTCACATATTACAGAACTTTGTTTTCGATAAAATTTGGAAAAATTGACAGTTGAATAGAGATTTGCTTCCATAAGAAAAGGTACTCATCGAGAACCTCAAAACAAGGGATCACGTGATCTTCATGCTGTTTAGGAGAGGCCTTTTCAAAATAATTGTACAGTGAATTATTATTCTTATGACTGTGAATGCATTCATATGTAATTTGGACTTAAAAGCTGATTATCGAAATTTATCTCTACAGTCCATTGCAACTGAACAAAAAATTCAGTAGAGATGATGTAGGCGTACTACCGATGAAGGTGCAGCGCCAAGGCTTACATCACGGTTCAAGCGTTCTTCACAAATATAAACAACTTTCTCTTGCAGCGAGGTATGAAACAGAAGCGGATTATAACAATAGAAACGATATGTTGTATAATTTAAATAATAAGTTGGGGATTTTCTCTGCTACCATGCAGATTAAAATGGTATGTAAACGTTCAGCAATTTTCTTTGCTATCGCGATTATGCATGCGTGTGTGCGTCTAATAGATTGATATACATATATATACACGAGCCCCTTCCCACTTCAGTTGGCCCAACTATTGAAATCTTAGCTTTTTTTTATCAAACACAAATAATAAAAATGTAGCAGGGTGTTATAGGTTTAAAATATTAACAGTGAATATTTTGATAATATATAGTAGAAAACACCAACTTTATCACTCCCTAATCAAATTTGCAGCATAAAAATAGCACACATGCAATTACAGCATATCAACCTATTTTCATTTCAATGCAAAATAAGTCTATAACGCATATGTGGCTGTGAAAAATCGAAGCCATGACAATTTTTATTAATCACAGCTGTCAGAATACGTTTAAAATAGTTTTGGGTAGTTAATGTTTTCAAAATGGGTAGAGGAAAGGTTATTAGTGAGAAAATTCGGTTACTGATAATTAAATTTTTTAATTCTGGGAAATCAAACTCAGAAATTGCAACTTTGTTAGACTTATCGCGGTACAGTGTGAGAAATATTGTTAGAAGATATAACGTAACTGGTTCAGTTAACCCTTAAACGACAACATGGGGTCACCTGTGACCCAGCCCAATAATATTTCAGTCATATTTCGTACGAATATTCCGCTGCAGCCGTCTCCCCCCACCTACCTTTCAAGCGTAGCCATTAGTATTATCACAGAAAGCGACGAGAGCGGTCGACAGCTATTATCCGATTTATAGGTTATTGGGGTCGCCCGTGGCCCGTGTTGTTATTTGCGGAATAAAAAACCATGTTTACGCAAAAGAAATATTTAAGTGACAAAGAACTCGAAGAAATTGTAAGACGCTACGAACGAGGTGAAGAGGATAGTGACGATAGTAATAATGACTTGGGTGATAGTGGAAGTGAAGCTGAAGATCATGAGGAGGAAGAAGAAGTGGAAGCGGACGAAATAGTGTATGAGCCTACTAAAAACGAGTCATCCGACGACGAGATACCTTTAGCAGATCTGCAAAGAAAAGTGATTTATGGGAAAAATGGTTACAAATGGAACTCGAAACCTTTTCATTCAAAAAATACACGTACAATGAAGAAAAATTTGGTTGTCCATCTTCCTGGACCTAAAGGGGCAGCACGTACTGCGAAAACCGAATATGTGGTGTGGAAATTATTTTTTGATGATAACATGATGCATACAGTTGTTACTCATACAAATGAAGAAATAAGCAGAAATCAGGCAAAGTTTTCAAAATCGCAAAGATACACAGGACAGACAGATAAAACGGAATTAGAAGCACTGTTTGGTTTACTATACATAAGCGGAGTATTGAAGAATAATCATGTAAACTTAGAGGAGCTGTGGTCTAAAAAGTATGGCGCACCAATTTTTACAGCCACGTTGAGCAAAAACAGGTTTTCGTTTCTTATAAAAAATCTTCGATTTGATGATAAAACAACCCGAAACCAAAGGAGAGAAGAACGAAAAGATGGCCTCTTAGAGTTTTATACGGCATGCTTGATGGGGGTGCTGTGAATGCCTACGTGATCTATCAAGCCAATAGTCCAGACACTAAGAAAACACCACGACGCATGTTCCTGATGCAGCTGGGTGAAGACCTTACCAAAGAACACATGAAAAGGAGGCTTGAAATAACAAATTTACCACGCAATCTAAGGTAACAGAATGAAAAAGCAGCTTATCGATATAATATTGTTTGTTTTGTTTCAGGCAGCAGATTTTAGAGGTGTTGGATGTAGCAGAAACGGATATTGTAGACCAGGTACCACTTAGTCTGAAAACCAGAGGAAACAAACGCTGCTCCGTATGTCCAAGAACTCTAGACAGAAAAGGTAGAGATACCTGTATAACATGCAAGCGTAACTTGTGCGCCGAACACAGGCAGGCTATTTGTGCATTTTGTATTTAAAAATGTTGTATTCCTTTTTCTTCTCTAATTAAAGTTAATTAAAATATTTCTGGCATTGTTTTCAATGAAAAGATATCATCAATAACAGTATTTCTGCTTGGGGTCATACGCGACCCCATGTTGTCATTCGTGTATGAATATTCTCATGTTGTTATTTAAGGGTTAATATTAAGCCACGATATGTGAAAAAAAGTAATATCACAAATGCCGACCGAAGAGCATTAAGAAGAATAATCGTGAAAAAAAGGCGACCCAGTTATTTACAATTAAGTGCTCTGTGGAGTGACGCTGTTGGAAGGAGAATTTCGAGGTCCACAACTCATAGAGAGGCCCACAAACTGGGATTTTTCTTATAAAAATAAGTGAAGTAAAAACCCTAAAGTTGCACAACTTGTTTATAGGCCAAAGAAAAGCCACTATTAACTCCACTGCAAAAGAAAAATCGGCTTAGATGGGCTAAAGAACATAGACAATGGACACCTTTCGAAGTTTGTGTTGGTGACAGTCACAGTAGAGCTATTCGCAAGAAAATTAAGCATTCCATGTTGAATGTCTGAAGAGAAAAGTGAAATTTTCAGCATCCATTATGGTCTGGGGCAGTATGTCATCAAAATGAGTAGGAAAACTTCACTTTATTGATGGAAATGTGGATACAAACAAATATTTGGCAATTTTAGAAGAATCGCTTTTACCAGTGATGGAAGAATGTTTGACATCCGGCCGAGAATTTGTGTTTCAGCAAGATGGTGCAGCGTATCATACCTCAAAAAAGGCTATAAAATGGATGGAAGAAAATAATGTACCACTTTTGAAATGGGTTTCCAGCAGTCCAGATCTGTCACCTATTGAAACTTTGTGGCACGAGATGAAAAAGGTTCTATGACAACATCCTGCTCGTACAATCACCGAACTGAGACAAATGCTTCAAGAAATATGGGATTGTTTTACACCAAATTTTTGCCAAAACTTGGCTAACACTATGCCCCAAGGAGTTTCAGCCGTAATAAAAAATAAAGGTGATGTTACCCAATGGTAATCTTTCAATTGTTGCTTTGTTAACTTCGCGCATTTATTCGCACATTGTTTATTTGTTCAGATGTTCTATTAGTTATAGGTCTAAGTGATTTCAAATATGTATTTTTTACGAGTAGAGTGTATCTAAAATGTTTTTGAGAAGATAAATTGTTTTAGAAGTAAATAGTTTCGTCATGTTTAGTTTATAAACGCATATGTTGGTACAAATCTTGAAGTGGGCCAACTGAAGTGGGAAGGGGCTCGTATATATATATATATATATTGTTTATGAAAGAGCACTTCAAATTACAGTTCTGTTTTTAGCATCCTCCCGCATTTGTTTTTTGAATTTTTGAAATTGAATTCTTATTACATTCTAACTCAGGAATATACCTACATTTTATTATTTTACAGAGTGGATGACTGCCATGTCATAAAAATTGAGAATTTTGGTATATATTTTAACTGAAATTTATCAAAATACTATAGAGATCAATTTATGTTTTTTTTTGGAACCGTCTATCCGAATATATTTGTACAATAAGACATGAGACATGGTATTTAAGAAATTGTCAAAACTGGTCATCATGCTTGATACAGTGTCGGATACTTTATTTCATATTCGAATACACTCATCCAAAAACAAAATTGATACAAATATAAGGGTTGTCCAATAGGGACGCAGGAAAGTAAACGTCAATTTGACATAGACGCCATCTTTGTTTTCTGTCACCGACATGTCATTTTGTTAGTTGAATGTTTACCATTGATCGCTATGGAGTCGTATTCGATTGAAGACCGCATTAAAGTTATTCAAGAGCACTACAAAAATGGTGCAAAAATAAAAAACACGTTTCGCGCGCTTCGTGTACATTTCGGTCGCAACAACCGCCCAAACGAAACAACCATCGGTCGTCTGGTGCGTAAATTTGAGGCAACAGGTTCTGTGGCAAATCTGCCAGGCTCTGGCCGGCCAAGGAGCATTCGCACACCGGAAATTATTGCTGTTGTGAAGGAGAGTGTGAGAGACGATCCGAAACAATCAATAACGCGTCGATCCCAAGAATTGGGCATTTCGAGAACCAGTTTGCTCCGCATTCTCCACAAGGATTTGAATGTACACGCCTACAAGGTCCAATTGACGCAAGAGCTCCGTCGGGCCGACCGTTTTTCGCGCCGAACATTCTCAGATTGGCTCCTTGAACACCGCCAAATTGATGCCAATTTTTCATCAAAAATCATGTTCAGCGACGAAGCGCATTTCACTTTGAATGGGACGGTAAACAAGCAAAACTGCCGCATCTGGGCGAACGAAAATCCCCGTGAGTATCAAGAGCAGCTGACGCATCCTCAAAAAGTGACTGTGTTGTGTGCATTGTGGTCAAAAGGCATCATCGGATCTTACTTTTTCGAAAATGCGGGCGGGGACGCCGTTACCGTCAATTCTGAGCGATGTCACGTGGTGATAGAGGACTATTTTTTTGCCGCAACTTGAAGGAATGGATATGGACGATGTTTATTTCCAACAAGACGGTGCAACATGCCACACAACCAACGTCAATATCCATCGATTGCAGTCCTTCTTCGGTGATCGCGTGATTTCGCGCAGAGGAAATGTGCCATGGCCACCAAGATCGTGCGATTTGACTCCCTTGGACTTCTTTTTATGGGGATATTTGAAAAGCAAAGTCTACGTCAACAAACCAGCCACCCTCCAAGAACTCAAAAACAACATCATTGCCGAGATAAATGCCATAGTACCGACCATGTTGCAAAATGTCATTGAAAATTTCGACCATCGCGTGGACGTCTGTAAATCCAGTCGTGGTGAACATTTGAGCGATATTATTTTTCACACATAAATGGTATAAATGAACCTTCAAAATAAAGTACCCAACCTGATTTGAATATCAATCTTTCTTGTTTTAATATGCGTTTACTTTCCTGCGTCCGTTTTGGACAACCCCATACTATAAGTCTCTGACGATTAGTTGTTTAGTTATAAGACAGTTCATAAACAAAAACTATCAACTTTCATAGCGTCCAGCTCACTATCTTGAAAAATGAACCTTCTTGTTGACTGATAAAGTACTCATGAAGAGCTTCAAAATCTATGTATGCTGAGTGACAAAAAAAGGTAAACGCCTACCATTTCATCACTTGTTCATGGTAAGATAAATCGATGTGAAGAAATTCTTGAATTCTAATAAATATGCGTAGTTGTTTACGTTTCTTTGTCACGCAGTATATCTCTTAAGTCCCCTTTGTCTTTTCTAAAAATGTATATGACCAAACTTGCAGTCGTCAGTGACTACATAAGGGACAAAAAGAGAGAAAGACAAAGTTGTCTGTCTCTTGCACAGATAAATCTCCACTTTTCCTAATTTCGTCATTTCAAAGGAACAAGTGAATGATCACTGGGGAATGCTTTAAATGCACTTAATAGGCCGTATACGATGCGTACATCAAATGTGCGCTTGTTTCGACCGCCATCTCTTTATGCTGTCAAGGATATCTAGATATCAGTCACTGTTTCCAAAGGTGACTTTGATTGCTGCAGCAGCAAGACAGTGATGACGCCGAAAGATTCGTAACCATGCTAAAATACATTTTGCGGTAACGAAAATCCAAATAGTTCAGTTGATTTTGATAGAACGATCTCCTTCCTTCTAATTTATAGTCACAGCGGGACAGAGATAATAATATGTTCATAGGAGAAAATGCTGAGCAGGTAGATTTGGCGTCCAGGATACAGCTGGATCTGTTTCATGATTGGTTTTGACGCAGATCATACTAGACTAGGGAAACACTTGGAGGACAAAGACTTGGAGGAGGAGAGCTTTGAACTAAAAAGATGTAATGACTTGTTATCTAGTAGAGGAACGTTAGTGTAGAGATCAGTGTTCATCGAGCACCGGTCTTCTCAGGTTAGATTTCACCAACCATCAGGAACAAGGTTTGGTGTAGAAATGATGCTGTAGATTGGACCTAAGAGTGAATAGCACCAACCTAGAAGATTCAAAACTAAGTTGGTCATACCATAAAGAGGAATTTCAAAAAACATATGTGGTGTGATTCGGCCAGATCAATTGAAGCCTTCACACATACACTGTCTGAAGCATTTTGTTCAGATTAGATTCCATACCCTTGATACAGGACTCTGTATGGTAGCTTCCAGCTGCTGAATTCGTCATTCTGAATATTTGAAACCCTAGCCTCAGCGGGTCTTCGGAGAAACACCACAGATGAACTGGGGTTTCTTCGTGCTTTTTGCATCTTCTAGACTCGAGAGCCTCATTTTGTCAATTTAGACGATTGTATCCTCTCAAGACATTTTCTGTGACCCTCTTAGACTCCCTATCAAATCCAGGCAAGTCTACTGTAATTGTCAAATTTCGTTCTTTGACGAACCATTTTAGGTGCTAAGAAAAAGCCCATCCTTTTATGAACTGCCTTCTCATTGCATTTGAACTAATAGATTAAGAGCTTATACGTTTACATTGAAATATTTATTGCCAAAGTTGCGTAGCTCTATTCCTTACGTTTGACACATTTGCCTACCAATGCCTGCTAAAGTGACAGCGCTGAATCAACATAATAATACTAACAGGAGGCTTGTGCAAGCTATGCAAGTAGTACCATGTGTTCAAATCGTCTAACACCGCAATTACCTGCCAACACTCGCTCTAAAACTACAAATTTAATGACAGAACTGTAAGAAAAATGACTTATGTAAAGTGCAATCATATCCTCACTACAGTATATTCAGATAAGTGATAGACCGAGCATAAACAAGACCACGTGATCATCGAACGCTGTAACATTCGGCAGGGACGTATTAAGAGTCACGCAGTACATATTTTAGATAGTAGATGCTGCTTTGCGTAACTTTGTAGTAAATTAGCACAATTCGATGTGTATACGATTGGTGATGGATATAGGATCATGTGGGGGTGGGGTAAGAAATATATAATGATGTAAATATACATAAGGGTTTCAAAATTTTCGCTTCGATTTCCAGCTTCAGATGCCGCCTGATGTTTGGTGAAATACAGTCGAATATAGTCTCAAAGTGGCGTTTAAATTAGCCTAAATTAAAAATAATCGTATATCTCTTAAAATTGCTTTTAGA